TTGTCGTAAACCTAAAGGTTGGTTAAACCGATTCAATCGACCACAGATTAATCATGTTTCTATTGATCCAGATTCTTCTGGCACCTTTTGTGGTATTACGGATATCGTGAATCCTAATTCTATTCTGATAAAGCAAAAATGGATTACGCAAAAAGTGAAATTGAATGAAAAATTAGTTGAAATGATTGTTGATTCGGCCAGCCAAATTAATATTCTGAATGAGGAGATTTGGTCAAAAATTGGCAGTCCAGAATTATTCAAAGTTGATTATTCAGGCGTCGGCCTAGGAAAGACAAAATTCGAGATTGAAGGAAAATTCAAAGCAATTGTAGAATTATTCTGAACCACAAGTGAAGAAGAATTCCATTTGGTCAAAGGAGATGTCAATATTTTGGGCTTGCCAATCTTGAATAAATTTGGAACGAATTCGAGGATTCTAGCAAAGTTCATTCCAAAAGAAGTATTCAATTCTCCAAAACAGAAAAAATGGCGTAGTCCTCAGCCATTCTTGAAAAATGAAGAAAGTCCATTCTGGAAAAAGAAAATATTCAAAAACGAAGAAACGCCCAAAAGATGGCATAAAAGAAGCCGATTCGCCAACATTGAAGAAATGTTAGTCAAAAACACAAACAAAAACGGAAAAACGTTATGGCTGCCTGGGAAATTAGTCAACAAAGTAGGGCAGAAATGGAGAATTGAAGTCCCTCGCCTCAAGTGCATTGTAAGCCGGGAAGAATGGCATATTCGCAAAAAGTATTGGTTAGAGAAAAACCAATCAGATTCTGATAATTCTATTGATGAGCAGAGCTTAAAGCTCAATCAATTATTCAATAAAAATATCAATTCGAAGAAAGGCGATTCAAACATTCAAGAAGATAATGCTAAAAATATTCCAGAAGGCGATTCTATTGATGTTTTAGATGAGCCGAAGCCGATCGATGAGAAGAATGAAGACGATGAAAAGATGAGCGGTATTAGTATAAAAGCCTTCCTATTATTCAGTCTTAGTCTTATTGTCGCAGTGTTATTCTGTTATTCTATTCTGTCTCCACGTATTCGGCGTTTAGCCATATTCTATTGTTCGCAACCTATTGTATTTAGTATTGTAGATAAAGCACAGTTTGTTAGTTACTGTCTTATCTTGTGTTTATTCTTGTTAGTACGTCGACATCCAAGTCACATACGTAACAGGGAATTCGGGGAAAGGGGTGCGGGTAATTCGAGTTTGGGGACAGGGGTTTCGGGGAATGGGGGTTGGAGGGAATTCGGGAAACGGGTGTCGCGGGGAACGGGGGTTGGAGGGAATTCGGGAAACGGGTGTTGCGGGGAACGGGGGTTGCAGGGAATTCGGGAAACGGGTGTTGCGAGGAACGGGGGTTTGCGGGGAATTCGAGTTCGGGGAACGGGGGCGGGAGCCCTCCCGAGATTTCCCTGCCCGGGGGTTCCCCCGGATATTTCCCTGTCCCGGGAACGGGGGTCTAACCCTAGTCTAAAGAAATATAAAAAAGGACACACACCTCCATTCTTCTCTTCAATTTTAGCAACGTAGCAGTCAGATTTCTTACACTTTTTATTACTACCCATAAAGCCAAAGCAATAGAAGGGGTCTTGATTATTACAAAGATGTTCGTTACATTCTTCACAAGTATGGAAAGGACATTTTCCACAGCCTTTTTTAACTTTAAAAAATGTATTTTTAATTTTAACACTAATGTTACTTGTGTAGTTCCCCTCCCATAAGCCCCGCCCCTTTTCTTCTCCTTCCTTTCTTTTAAATAAGTAAAACGGGGGTCTAAAAGAAGTGGTCTGCTGTGGTCTGTGTTGAGTCTAGGATGTGAGTAGCTTAATGTATTTCCAGAAAATTTTTTGGGAGAACAGTACGAGTACTCTACTCACCCAGTTTTACCGTACACATGTACAGCACCGGACCGTAAGTTCTAAAATGAAGAGATGCTATTTCAGCTTACCATATGGTAAGCTAACATAGTAAAAAGGAAATATTGACCCAAATGTCATTTTTGTGAGAAAAAGATGAGAGAAAAAAAAGGGGCGGGACTTATGGGAGGGGAACTACAAAAGCACCACATTTGTAAACAAATTTTAACCCTCATTTGTTGGCGTTCTCATTGAATAACAAGGAGTTTTAGTTTTACACTTTTCTTTATTATTTGTCCAACAAAGCTTGGAAACTTTATCTTCAGTGTTACAATAATCCTCCTTACATTCAATACATTCAATCTTGTCGTTCTTCGAACACTTTCCGCATCCGTGTTTTACTAGGAAAGGATAATAATTTAAGGTATTATTAGGTTAGATATCTCCCTAAATTTTCCTTTTTTTCTACTTCCTTCTATTTCCCGTTCACAAATTTGTAGAATACGGGTCACCCCAAAAGGTCAAACCCCTAGAGGTCAAGACTCAGAAGGTCATGCTCTACTTGTCAAAATACCCTGGAGGTTAAATCCGAATACTTGGGTGAATAAAGGTGGTATAGGATCAATAATATGTTAGCCTTCTTCTCTGCCTTATTCGACAGTTTCACGAGAGAATTTCCGTTTTATGTCCCTTAATCCACCTTAATCACAACAAATCCATTTTAATCCGCCCAAATACACCGATATCCCCTTTAATACCATCATATCTGTCTTTATCTATAAAATCGTATCTCCCAAATATTCTTATTTGACCTCCTGAGTAATTTGACCAATATCAAGCAAAAAGCTCAAAAGGGTCATGGAAACAGGAAAAAGGGAGGAATAATCCAAACCGAAAAATGTGAGATAATTTAATGGTTACCCGACATTTGGGGGTCAGACTTTTGGGGACCCGACAGTTGGGGATACGGCTTTTGGAGCCCGACACTTAAGGACCCGACATTTGGGGGCGAAATAGGATTAAAAAAATTTGAAAATTAACTTATAGCGGCTTTTTAATGCGTGTTCTGGTATGGACAAAAATGGTCATTAGACTCAGCTCGATGTATTAGTACCTAATTTAACTCCAATAACATTCCCTACCCTTCCAAGAAGTCAAATCTCTCCAAACAAAACATTTATCATTGCAAACTCTTGTCCCTTTAATTAATTTTGTTCCATTTTCCGACTTTTCCAAACAAAACAATTGTTTCTCGATAAACTTTTCAGTATTACACAAGGGGCTGTTATTGCATTCCGCACATTGAATTTCATTTAAATTTTTTCCAACCAATTTTTTGGAGAGGGATAAATTGGATGTGTTTTTGAAGAATTCGTTGTTAACTGGACACTTTCCACAGTCGTAATAGTATTCATTATGATTCCCGACTGAAAATTCGAATTTTAAATCATGGCTCTAGTTTGGGGCATGGTCCCATGAACGTTTAAGCGTCCCATCAAAGTATATACGTCCCAAAAAGGAGGTCCAAGTGGACTCAGATCAAGAGCTCAGCGAAAGTTTGGCCACTAGGCTAGATTCGAACCTGCAACCTCCTCTTAGGTATTGCTAGGCGCTTTCGCTCACCATATACAGGTGCTCTACCGACTGAGCTTGGACTAATGCTTTACTTTTTATCCCTATGTTAGTTTAACCCCCGCCTAAACGTTTAAAATGCGGTTAGGCGTATTCCTACATCAGACCGTCCCCTTGATTAAGTGCCCCTGCTCATGGATAGGCTGATTTACCCTAGACTTCAATAGTACCCGCAGGGTGAGAGAAAAACCGGGAAGAGGGCATAGGAAAAGGGGGCAGTTTTCCCTGGAGATGGAGGTGTCCAGCCCCAGGAAGCCTCCAGCCCCAGGGAATCCCCGGGTGTAATGGCTAACACATCAGTCCGGTCTACTAAGGATTCTGGTTCGCATTCAGCAGCTGATAACCTTTTGCACCAGCTAAAGGAGAGAAATCGGCTACAGCCCAGCTGCCTTACTGTACCTTTATTCAATTTTATAATGTAGCAATCTTTCTTGTTGCACTCCTTAACACCATTAATTCCTTCAACACTTTTACAGTAATAAGTATCATTCCAATTATTACAACGATTAGCTTGGCAGTCTCTACATGAGGTAGAATTACACTTTCCACATCCTTTGTTTTCTTAAAATGAGAAATTCATTTTAAATTTATTTGGTCAATGCCTGTGTTATTCTTCATTCTCTCCACAAAACAAGGAGTTTCAAACGATGTTTTACATATTTCTCCAGTGTTATCCCAGCAGTGCTTTGGAACAAGACTTTCTGCATTGCAGTATTTTGTATTACAATTTTTGCAGTCAAAATCAGAAAAGGGGTGACAATGGACGTCACAACCTTGTTGGACTTTAATTTATTTGATAAGAAATATTTTTTATGTTTAAACACACTTTTTCCATGAGAATATCTTACAATATAACAGCCTCTTTTACATTCTCTTTTCAGAGATATTTTATAATTAAGCTCATTCTGCCAACAATATATTACATTCTTGAAAAACATTTCAGTATTACACAAAGTGCCATTACTGCATTGTGCACAGTTTAAATCCGATTCTTCGCAATTTCCACAGCCAAAATCAAACTCTAAAATTTTTTAATTGGAAGATGTACTTATTTATTAGCCCCAATTTCTAAATAGGATTGGGGTTTTCGAGTCGGACCGACTTTCGAGTCATTTTTTTCGGGCCAAAATTCAATGCTCGACTCGATCTTTCGGACCGGGCCGGATCGGGCCCCCAACCCTATTTCTAAAATACATAGGGAATTTCCGACTTTTTTGTGTCATGGTTTTTTCCCTAGGAGTCATGTTCCCGATTTCACGAAATATTCTGAAAAATCGAGAATTTTCCTATCTTATCTGGCTTTAAAAAGGGAAGAAATTTGGCTTCTTGGCCCTCCAAAATTCAAGATACAGCCGTGTATTTATCGGTATTTATCGGTATTCCGTATCGGTAGTACGGCACGGAATACGGTACGAAATTCCGATCACTAGATAAAATATTTCTAAATCCCGAAAACGTATCCGGATTTTCCAAATTTTAAACTCTAGTAACTACTAACCATTTTTAGCCTCATTCAAAGCTTTAATGTAGCATTCAGGTTTATCACATTTTATCATTTCTTTCTCACCCTTTTTGCTTTTACAGTAATATTTAAGGTCCTTTCCATCATTACACCGGTTTTTGTTGCATGTTTCACATGTTTTACTGGGGCACTTTCCACATCCTCTATTTACTATAAATAAATGAAATTTGGTTAAATCTGGATATAAATAAGCTGAGCGCATATGCGCCACTATCATTAATCAGGGACACGCCCAATTAGGCACGCGCCCATAACGGCGCAGAGCCATAACTTGCTGGAAAATTTCTGGCCCTTACCAATTTTGGTACCAAACTCTTTAGCTCGATGAGTGGAATCGTTTAATACCAAATTTGGTAAGATTCGGAAATCTTGAAGCAAGTTATGGCTAAGCGCCGTTATGGCCTCGCGCCTACATGGGCTGTACCCCTTTCAGGGTTTGTCAATATTTTGCCAATTTATTTCAATATTTTATGGCCATATTTTGCGATTTTATTTCAATAAAGATCCGTCTCTATCTCATTTAAATACCTCCATTTGTTTTTGTCCTCTCTGTGAAGCACTCTTCCATATATTTATTTTTACATATTTTTCCATTATTTTCCCAACAATGTTTGTAAACATTTTTTTCTTCGTTACAATAATTTTCTTTGCAGGCATAACAATCTTTAGAATCTTTTCCTTGACAATTACCACAGCCTTGCTCAACTTTAATTATGTTATAATTATTTTTTAAATAATTTTTAGGGACTTGTGTAGTTTACCCCACCCATAAGCCCCGCCCCCTTTTTCTTCTCTCTTCCTTTTACCTAAAAAATGACTTTTGAGTCAATATTTTCCTTTATTTCAGCTTAACCTATGACGATAATTACCCAACCCTTCACTTTAGAACCTAAGGTCGCGTGTGTAAACCCCCCCCCCCCATAAGCCCCGCCCCTTGTTACCTACAGCTGCAACTATGGGTCAGTAGAGTTCTCTATGGACAAAAAAGTTTAACAACTAGACACATAACAAGCACAAAAGAAAATAGCTTCAATTTGCTGCCCATTTTCCTCTCTTCCTTATAGGAAAGAATAACAGAATAAAAAGGGGGCGTGGCTTATGGGGGGTAAACTACACAAATATTCAATTCCGCTTTTTCCCTCCCAAATTTTAAAAAGAGGAAGTGTAACGTGGAAGGGTAAAAAAGCGGAATTCCTGCTGATATTTACCTTTCCCATCAGAGTCTCTAAAAACAAAGCATTGTTCATTGCATTGTTTTATTCCCTTCAAGTGATTCTTCACTTCCTTTCCTTTATTCAAACAAAATAAATTCTTCTCAAAAAATTCTTTTGTGTTGCATATAGTTTTATCACAATTGGCATATTTTAATACATTTTCCGTTTTCTTTGGAGAGTCTCCACAGCCTTGTTCAACTTATTGGAAAAATAAATATTTAGATGCTTTTGACGGGTATACCTTTTCGAGGGGTACAGCTAGAGCTTCGCCGGAAGATCCGGTTTCGGTAGGCCGGAAGTTCCAGGATTTTTGGGTCCGGTCCGGCTTCGGGCAAAATTTCTGTTCCGGTTCCGGCCAATTTTGCGTTTCCGGCGAAGCACTAGATACAGTCCAAGTAGGCGCGCGACCATAACGGCGCTTAGCCATAACTTGCTTCAAGATTTCCGAATCTTACCAAATTTAGTATTAAACGATTCCTCTCGTCGAGCTAAAGAGATTGGTACCAAAATTTATAAGGGCCAGAAATTTTCCAGCTAGTTGTGGCTCTGCGCCGTTATGGGCGCGCGCCCGCGTGTCCCCTTTTGAGGTGTCATGTCCTACCTTTTTTGTCAGAGTAATAAGCATAATAACATTTTCCTTTATATTCCTTTTTACTGCATTCTACAATTTCATTATCCTTTTTCCAACAATATCCCACTTCTTGATAGAGATTCTTAAGGTTACAAACATTTGTTGTGCATGTTCTACAGTGTCTTGCATCCTTGGGGCATTCTCCACAGCCTTGCTTTGTATATTTTTCTAACGCTGCTTCTTCCGTTTTACCTTAAAATCGTTGAACTCAACAGTATAACTCCAAAAATACCTTTAAGAAGATCAACAGAAATAAAGCATTTATTTGCCTGACATCCTCTACCTTTATGATCAGAATATTTTCCGTTAGTACTTTCCCCACATTTAAATGCATTATTCATATTATTTTGTGTATTGCAAAATGCTGTTTTACAGCTAATACACCAAAACTCAACATCAGCCGGACATTTTCCACATCCAATAGACCTTGCCACGTTCAGCTATAATGGAGAGCAGGGCTGTGCGCCAAAATCGGCCAAAAATGGGCGCCACGCCAAAACGCAATGGCGCACAGCCCTGGGGGAAAGTTTGCCCTATTTTTGCCACATTTCTGAGTGGCTGCGCCCTATTTTAGTTGTTTGGAAACGGTCACCCTGGCTTTGGACCTCAATCATTAGTACACATAAGAAAATTTGGTACTTTACTATTATCGGCCCTCATTTTTATTTTTTTTCTCATTATACTCATCACCCTTTTCGTCGGCCACGCTTCCCTTCCTGTTGAAGGAAAAGGAAAATTGATTTTCGACCCCCGGTTTCGGTCCCGATTCGGTTAAACCGGTTGTGTCCAACCCCATTATATTCTATCTTAATATGAGCAGAATGGTCAAACTTCCTCAATTTCACACAATAAATAATTCCGTACCCTATAACCAAAATTACATTCATTTACGCCAGGAGAACATAGCGTTTTCTTCCCATCTGGAGCATTACACATAAAAATATTTGATTCTGCAAATTGTTTCACGTTGCACAAACTACTTGAGCAAGTCTTGCAATGACTTTTACCAGAAGGGCAATCTCCACATCCTTGCTCTGTGTGTTTTTCATATACGGTTTCCAATTCTCCCTCTTAGATATAAAAATTATTTGTGGTAATCCCTTATGTATCCCTTAATTATGCTAATTTTTGGTCCGCAATCTATGGGTCCAAAGATTTGAATCCGCAAAGCTTGGCGCGCCTTTTTACCTCATACTATTTGCCATTTATTTACTTCTAATCTTGGTGTTCTGGTAGCCCTCCTGCATAAAGTAAACTATATATACCTAGTAAGAGAGAGATAAAAGTTTAATCCCTGGCAGGTATATCCCGGGCAGGTATACCTCCTGTCAGTTATTGCTAGGCGCCTACACCCTGAGGACCTACACCCTGAAGACCTATTTACCCTGAAGACCTACAACTTTTTGATCAACTAAATTATTTATTTTTTTCCTTTACGAGTTTAATAGGTGAGTCTAAGGGATTAAAGGGGAGCACTATCCACTTTAACACTCAAAATCCTCGATATCTCCCTTAATCCCTCTTTATCTCCTTTAAAACCTTCAAATCCATCGATATCCCCCTTAATCCATCCTAGTTTTTCTTTACCTCCTTTAAATCCCCCGATTAGACTTTTAAAGAAATAAAAAGTAAAAAATTGTGTTGATCAAAAAGTTGTAGGTCTTCAGGGTAAATAGGTCTTAAAGGTGTAGGTCTTCAGGGTCAGTAGGTTTTAAAGGTGTAGGTCTTCAGGGTCAGTAGGTCTTCAGGGTTGTCCCCCTAGCCAGCTAGATCTTTCCCTTCCTTACACTATTAAGTTACTGTAACGAGTCTATATCAGGGGTGAGCGCAAGAGGCAATCGTGAACGCAATGCGCTCATCCCTGGTTTTTATAGGCAATGACTACAAATTATAATTTTTGGATATACCTTTAATACTAAAAGCTAGATAGCATTTTTTCTTGGAACATTCTCTTGCATTCGTAGCTGTAAATTTCCCTTTACTCTCAAAACATCTGAATGCTTTATCCAAATTATCTTTCGTATTACAATTTGGCGGGCTGCAGTCAAAACAATTGAGATCCTCTAAGGGGCAGTTTCCGCAACCAGCTAGCCCGCCTCCGGGCTTAAAAAAATTAAAATTTTTTCAAATTTAAATACTTGGGATCAACCCAGAAGGTCAACAACACCCAGAAGGTCTACCCACAAAGGTCAACTCCCTATTGAACAAATGGCCCAGGAGGTCAACTACCAAAATGTCAACTCCAAAAATATGGTCGGATAAGCTGGGGTAGACCTCTTGGGTTTGACCTTCTGGAGTGGACCCAAATAATTTTTTTTGACCTTTACTCCATAATAACATCTTTCTGTTCCGGGAGCGCAGATCACCCATTTATCATCAAATGTGCGGCATGCATAAAATTTTAACCTATAAAAGTATTCTGTGTTGCATAAATTTTCTGTGCATGTAAAGCATCGTCCTTCTACTTGAGGGCAATTTCCACAACCTTGTTTTGTGTGTTTTTCAAGTATTTCTTCAGAATCTCTTTCTTAATTAGAAATTTTGCAGTGAAAAGAAGTTTGATACTTGTCTCTTATACCTACAAGCAATGCCAGCCGAAATTGATCAGCTATAACTTTTTTGTACATTATCCAATCCAGATGAATTTTATATCATTCGAAAGCCCTCGATAGGCGCTATCTTTTATCCATTGGTTGGATCAAGTGTGATCGTCCATTAAAAAGTTACAACTCGATAAGTGTGAAAAACAACGATTTCTTCCACTTATCGACTTGTAACTCTTTAACGAGTGATCAGACCTGATCCATCCAGTTGGATAAAAGATAGTGCCTATCGAGGGCTTTCGGATGATATAAAATTCATCTGGATTGGATAAAGTACAAAAAAGTTATAGTCGATCAAATTCGGCTGGCGCTCAGTTTGTGGGTGACGGCTAACAAATAATTAACCTTTAATTGATGAAGCAAAATAGCATTTTTTACTGTGGCATTCTCTTGCTTTCGTATCTGTTCTTTTCCCATTACTCTCATAACATCTAAACACCTTATTGAAATTTTCCTTCGCGTTACAGTATTTTGTATTGCATTCAAAACAATCTGAATCCCCTTCACATTTTCCGCAACCACCAATACCATTTTGTTTCTTAAAAAATAAAGCTTGTTATGGTACCAGGGAATGGGTACCAGGGAACGAGCCGACAAAAAATTCCCCATTTTCGGGAATCGGAACGGCTCGCTCGTTCCCTGATGGGTACCCCAGGGTACTGCGAGCCAGGGTACCGCCAAGCTAAAATTTCCTTTGTATTGTTCGTTTAGCACATCGAGCTGGATCGAAGCGTACTAGGGCGTTCTGGATTCGACAATTTTGAACAAA